CCCTGCCCCCCCAGCCCTGCTGTTGTCCCTCACTCCCAACCTGCTGTTCCTCGACCCCTCTCGTGCCTCTCATTCCCAACGTGCAGCCCCCTGCCCCTCCAGCCGTGCTGGTGCCCCTCACTCCCATCTCTCAGCCCTTGCCCCCCCCAGGGACCCTCACTCCCAACCCACAGCCTTTGCTCCCCCCCACAGTGTCTCTCACCCTGACCCGCAGCCCCTGCCCCTCCCCCAGACCTGCTGGTGCTCCTCACTCTCAACCTGCATCCAGAGATCTCCTGCATCACCCCCTACACCCAAGAAGTTGAGGGAGCCTGCGGTTCAGGCTGGGGGTGTAGTGAGGTGTCACTTCCCCCCCACCCCCACCCCGCTGCAGCCCCCAAGGGGTCTCACTGCCATTTCCCCTGCAGAAGAGCAGATGGCCAAGGATGGCCGCGGCTACGTGCCCACCACCATCAAGATGACGGTGGAGAGCGAGAGGTGTGTGCACATGTGCCAGGGAGCTGCTGGCCCTGGGAGTGTGTGTGCGCGTGCATGTCTGTGTACATATGTGTGGCTCTGTGTGCACCTGTTGGTGTACATGTGTGTGCTTATGTGCATATTTCTGCACATGTGCATTGGTGCATGCCTGCCTGCTTAGATGCATGTGCCTGGTTGTGAATGTCCATAGGTGTGCGTGCATGTCTGCAGGCACGTGCATGGGTAGCTCTGTGTGTGCATGGGAGTGCAAGCCTGCATTTCTGCATGCGTCTCTATGCATATGCGCAAGTGCCCATGTCTGCTGGCACACATGTGTACAAGTACCTGCCCGTCTCACCAGGTTGTGTCCTTCCAGGGTGTTGCAGCTGCAGCAGCCTGGCTCCATGGGGGTACCCCCAGTACCCTGGCACCCCGAGCCCCTGCCCTCCAACATATGGTGAGTGCCCAGGCCCCCGGGGGGTGGGGGGGCGGTCAAGGAAGCTTCAGTTACCCATAATGCCCTGCACTGGGGCTGGGGTGAGGTGCTGAGCCATGCTCCCCAGCTAGCATTGCCCTTGCTTGCAGCCTCCAGGGCTTGGACCCCAGCACCCCCCTGACATGCTACTCCCACACGGAGATGACACACCCCCACTACCACAAGTGAGTACCACAGCCCCCCCAGTGGGGCCAGCTTTGGGGTCAGGGTCCCCCCGACCCCCCTCAATGTGCACCCCTGTTCCCCACAGCCCCTCACAGATGGTGTCTGTCGCCATGACAACGGTGTCCAGGCCACCCTCCTGTCCTGACACCTTTGGCAACACACTGGACACACGGTAAGGACTGGGGTCCTGGGGGTGGGGGGCTGCTCTGCTCCCCACCCCCCATACACCAGGCAGCACCCCAGGATCTGGCCTGGATCAGGGCCAGGGTCCCAGAGGGTGGGAGGGCACCACAGGCTGGCACCCCTGCTCAGTGCTGCCCTCCCCAGGATCCATCTGCCCTTCCTACTGAACACCAAGTCCCCAGAGCCGCTGGACACAGAGATGCTGGACCTGGACCCTGGCACCTTCACAGGGGTCTCCCCAGCCCTGGACACCAGCTTCATGCCACCCCCCTCTCCCCAGTGGTAAGAAGCTCGGGAGGCCTTACGGGACTGGGGGTAGCCCCCGCAAGGTCTCACACCCTGTGTGTCCCACTCCCCCCCACAGGATGGGGGAGGATGGGCTGGAGCACCTGGACCAGCTGCTGCAGGAGGGGCAGCACGAGGACCCCACCCCGCACGCGCCTGGCCCCCATGGCATCTTTCCTGGCCTGGACACCGTGGCCAACCCCAGCTGGTAGCGGCACCCCTCGCTGGATGTGCATGAGGCCGTGGCCCCTGGGCCCCCATGGGGGCCAGGCAAGAAGGACTGGGTCCCATAAGCACCCCTGTACAGACACCTCCCCCCAGCCTGGGCCAAGCTTGCAGCTGGGGTGGGGGGGAAGGCATCCAGCTCCTTCCAGCCCCGCCAGCAGCTCTGCCCCCCTAGCAGCGGGATCCGGGGAGCCCCCCAGAGGGGGCAGCTGCTGGGCTGGTACAGTGGCATGGGGGCCGAGGCCAAGTCACAGGCACAGGCTGGGACCACAAAGCATGCTGGGACAGGTGGGGGAAATGGGCAGTGCATATGCTACCCCTCCCAAGTCTTGCTGGTGCCCCTCACTCCCGCCCCGCAGCCTCTTACACCCTCCCACCCAGCCCGGCCAGTGCCCCTCACTCCCAACCTGCAGCCCCTTGCTGGTGCCCCTCACCCCAAACCCACAGCCCCTCGCCTGGCCGGTGCCCCTCACTCCCGACCTGCAGCCCCCTGCCCCCCTTCCTTTGCCTGTGACTCCTCGTAACCTGGGGGATGGACAGGACGTTGGGGGGGCAGGGACAGAAAATAAGCCATAAAATAAAGTTTTATTCCAAAATAACAAAATAAATAATCTACTGTACACGTACAAAGGAGACGGCACCGAGGGGCTGAGGTCCCAGGCAGGTGCGGGGCCCCACAGCTCCCTCCCCCCACCAGGTGCAGGCCTAGGCCCTGCAGTGGGGCTGGGGTCCAGGCTGAGGGGTCTTCTGCAGGGGGGTGGGGGTGTTCCTCCAATTCGTCCTACCCATGATACCCCTCGCAACTGTGAGGTTGTGCGAGGAGGGAGGGGGAGCATCGCCTACTGGAGGCATGTGGGTGCTGGTGTGCCCCCCACCACCACAGAGGCAGGATGGGCACACAGCCAGGTTGTGTGCATGTGCAAGAGGTGTGTGTGCACCAGGGTGTTTGGGCGGTGGGGGGTGAATGCAGCTGCATTTGAGCATGTGTGGGAGTTGCATGAAGGTGGACACGTGCATGTGTGTGCACTGTGCGTGTGTGCGTGTGTTCATGTGGGTGCAGTGGGGGCACACATGGGGGCGCATGTGTCTGTGGGTCTGGGCATTAGGGTGTAGCATGTGCATGTATGTCTGGGTGCAGTGTGGGCCTGGGTGGGTGAGCCTGTGTGTGTTTGTATGTTGCTGGGGGCCATGTGTGCACACGCATGTGGGAGCAGGGTCTCAGCAGGGGGGTGAGGGGCTGGCGCCTGTGGGGGCCTTGTGCCGGGTCCTGGGGT